TTGGACTTCTAGCCTCCAGAACTGAATACATTTCTATAAAGTATCCAGTCTCAGGTATTTTATAATAGCAGCACAAATGGACTAAGACACTCAATGTTTCAGAATGTGATCTTATTTGGAAACAGGGTCAATGCAGACGTAACTAGTTAAGACGGGGTCATACTGCAGTAGGGCAAGCCTTAATCAAATACGATTCATGACCTCATAAGACGACAGAAACTTGGACGTAGAGAAGAGACACACAGAAAGAAGACAGCTACATGAGAACAGAGGCAGACGCTGGAGCCACAAGCCAAGGAGCTCCTGTGGCTCCTAGAAGCTGGCAAAGGCAGGAAGGACTCTCTGTTCGAGTCTTCAGAAGCAGCATGGCCCGGCCGAGGCTTTGATTTGGATGCCTAGCCTCAGAACCGAGAGACAATCAACTTTAGTTGTTTAAGCCATCCAGCTCATGGTACTTTGTTATGCCAGCCCCAGGAAATGAATAAAGCTATGAGCATACATGGTAAATTACCTTTCAAATGGAACTGAAAGGCATGTACCGAAATCAGGAACATGATTACCTTTGGAGGAGGAGAATGTTAACCTTCTGACAAAATCAGTTCTTGGAAGTAGGGACACAGCTGGCATCTTTCATATTATTCTCTACTTTAAATATATTTTCCAAAACAAACAAACAAACAAATCTCCAGGTGAAAGGATGAGAGGATTGAAGCTATGTGAGAACATGGAGGGATGTGAATCCCAGGAACACTGGAGACCCGGAGGGCACAAAAGCACATGAGGATGGAAGGAGCTCGCTGGATTTAGAAACAAGCCAGTCCCGGCTGGTGCACTAGTTCGTGTCTGTAATCCCAGCACTCTGGGAGGCCGAGGCAGGAGGATCACTTGAGGTCAAGAGTTTGAGACTAACCTGGGCAACATAGCAAGACCTCATCTACACAGAAAAAAAATAGCCAGGCATGGTGGCACACACCTGCAGTCCCAACTACTCAGGAGGCTGAGGTGGGAGGATCACTTAAGCCTGGGAGGTCGAGGCTGCAGCGAGCCATGATTGCACCACTGCACTCCAGCCTGGGTGACAGATGAGACTCTGTCTCAAAAAAAGGAAACAAGCCAGTCATTGGCGGCCTTAGGAGGCAGCTTCTTTAGAGAGAGGTGGGCACAGAAGCGAGATGGCGCAGGCGCAGGAGAAGAGGGTGCTGAGGGAGGTCTGGCCCTGAATGAAAGGTGACAGGGAAGGTGGTAGTGAGAGGAGGTTGCAGCAGTAAACACAGGTGACTCAGCTCCCAGAAGGAACAAGGAGGCAAGGGAGCCGCCAGCTGCACTCCTTCCCAGCGTGTAATGAGCACAGGGCCCCGTGCAAAGGAGAAATCAGCTCCACACAAGTGATTCCAGACCATTATTACCAGTCATACAAGCATGAGAACCCTCTCCTCTCCTCCTGTCACAGACCATCCCTGATGTTTGGTGCTTTTTACCCTTCCAGCACTTTCCTGGGCAGGACTGCGCTTGCACCTCCAAACACAGGATTGGGCAGGATCGACAGGATGACTGGCAGATGAGGAAACAAAGTCAGAGCTCCAGCCTTCATACCCGCTTCCCTCTCTTGGTCTCAACATTCAAAAAGATGTGTGTGCTTCATGAAATTCCAGGGCTTTGCTTCCTCGCTTTGTGGCCAGTGACTCTGTGGGGCTGGGGGTAGTGCACATTGATCCGTGTTGGAGCACCTGGTCTCCAAGCTCGAGTCCCAGCCCATCCTCATTGTCCCTGTGCAGTGGGCCATTTAGACCTGCTCACAACTTTGTGGCCTTGGTTTAGTTTGTTTAAACAAAGCTATTCACGTTCTATTTCATTGTGACCCTCTCCAGGGCAGAAACGAAACTTTTTTTTTTTTTTTTGAGACAGGGTCTTATTGTCTCCCAGGCTGGAGTGCAGTAGTGGCACAATCACGGCTCACCGCACTCTTGACCTCCTGGGCTAACGTGATCCTCCCATTTCAGCTTCCTGAATAGTTAGGACTATAGGTGCACACCACCATGCATGGCGAATTTTTTCTGTCTTTTTTGTAGAGACAGGGGTCTGCCCATGTTGCCCAGGCTAATCTTGAACACCTGGGCTCAAAGGATCCATCTGCCTCAGCCTCTCAAAGTGCTGGGATTACAGGTGTGTGCCGCTGCGCCTGGCCAACAGGAACCAAACCTGATTCATGTTTGTGTCACCCCAGGCCAGGCACCGTAGCTTGTGTGAAAATTGTCAGAATCGAAATGGAGTCACTAATGTTAAGAAAACCCTGACAAATAGAGCCAGGGAAGGCCATGAAGAGAGGGTTCTTTTTTTTCTTTTTTTTTTTTTGAGACGGAGTCTCGCTCTGTCACCCAGACTGGAGTGCAGTGGCGCAATCTTGGCTCACTGCAAGCTCCGCCTCCCGGTTCATGCCATTCTCCTGCCTCAGCCTCCCGAGTAGCTGGGATTACAGGTGCCCAGTAGAGACGGGGTTTCACTGTGTAAGCCAGGATGGTCTCCATCTCCTGACCTCGTGATCCACTTGCCTCAGCCTCCCAAAGTGCTGGGATTACAGACGTGAGCCACCGCGCTCGGCAAAGAGAGGGTTCTTGTGCCTGGTAACAAAAAGGACTCTCTGGAAAAACCGCAACCTTGCACAAAGGTCACTGCAATCTCCCACAAAAAACAAGTCCTGCAAGGACATGGCCCAGCCACTGGCTATCCTACTTCGAACTGACATTGCCTTCGTTATGGATCTTTGTAGCCACAGATAATTATTTTCAAACAATTGTGCAGTCCGCCTCATTTTTTAAAAAACCTTTGCTTTCTTTGCCTCCCTGAATATGCACAAGTTTACTATGGCATGCATATTTCTATTGCAATGCTCTATTGCAAAATAAGTATCTTTTTCTTTTAGACATCCTCTCTGTTATTTAGGTTGTCACTTGCATGCAACAGGCATTGAATAAATGCTGAATTGACTGAAATTTGTTCTGAGGATGAAGCAGTGCTGGCTGAGAAGGAGCCGGGGTCTCCTGGTGCATTTTCCATGCCCTAGAAGGTCCACTTCCACCTCAGCCCCACACTGCTCAGTCTCAGCAACCTGACATGCCAGGGCTGAGCAGGTATGATAGGCCTTGGCATTCCTGCCTTGTCGGAGTCTCAGGGCACCTACCGAAGGAGGCAACGGGCCTATTTCCCTTTACAGGACACCGGTTTTAACCTGCTCAGGGTCTCACCGCCTTTCTCAGCCAGGCCAGCGGCCAGAGCGACACTGTCCCCAGAGTTCAACTTAAAGTCCATTCTACCTCTCATTTTCTCTAACAAACCCCAACCAACCAACCAACAAACCAAATTCCACACGCTGCATATTTTAAAAGCATTTCAAGGTTTACTCTTTTTTTTTTTTTTTTTTTTTTTGAGACGGAGTCTTGCTCTGTCACCCAGGCTGGAGTGCAGTG